GGGGAGGGGAGAGGGGAGAGAACATTTTTTAAAGAAAGCAGAAAGAAACCAAGAGGGCGAAAGAATTGTTTTTAGTTGGGTGCTGAGTTCTCCCATTTACTATTAGGACAAAAGAGGTTATAATCACTGTGTGTGTGTGTGTGTGTGTGTGTGTGTGTGTGTGTGTGTGTGTGTCTTGTCTAACTCTGGCTTAGAAGTGAGAGAGAATCCGAGACTTAGAGACTCAAGAAGTCACCCCTGTCACTCTTGAATATAATATGATACAATATAATAGATAACATCCTATATCTGGGAGTGTGTTGTGTTTTTACGTTTTCAGTCAAATAGAAGGCACTCCAATGTTGAAGGGATGGTGATGCCTACGTGTGTGGGGTGAGACCCTAATGGACGAGGCCGCCAGCGAGGGAAAGGGGGCTGACGGGGGTTGCTGGAGCCTGCAGTGACCTCCTGCCTCTGTGTTGCTTTCTTATAGGGAGGAACTGGCCATGAGGCTGGACTTGACTGAGGCCCGGGTCCAGGTGAGCTGCACTGCAGAGAGGGAGGAACGGAGGGGCAGTGGGCTTGGGGGGAGAGTGGAAGAGAGATGGGTTGATGGATTGGAGGGTTGTTGAGAGAGCCCCTTCACAAAATGAAGAAAAGCAGAATCAGAAAGATAAACCCAAACACTCACATACAAAACTATATTAAAATATGGACACCTGGGAGGTTGAAAGGGAAGATTTCGAGGTTTGGGAGCCTTGTGGAAGGAGTCCAGGATCAGAAGAGGGGTTTCAGGGTCCCTGAGACTGCAGTTCAGAAGCCCCCTGGTCCACAGCCCCTGTAGGAAACAATCTGCGAACTGAACTGACTTCTCCTGATTGAAATAATGGGATGGAGCATGGATTTGGTTGTTAGACAAATCCGCTCAGCTCCAAGCAGGTATTTGGCTGCGATTAAGTCTCCAATCGGGCTTCATAAAAGCCCACTTAGTGCTAGAACAAACAGGGCCATTTGAAGGCAAAATGCTGTTTGATTTCCCCTCTGCCCGCACAAGGAGCTGGCTAATGCTATTTGATTTCCCATTTTTTATAGCAATGAGCCCACATTGATCTAATAGGGAGTGAGTGCAATGCTATTAAAGGTGTTTGCAGCCCCATACCAGAGTGCATTTCCGAACCCAGGCCTCATAACCAAAGAGACGATCAACACTGGGCAGCCCCGACGGCCAACAGAAAACAGATGTCCCTGGGTTAGGAGCTGAGTGAATCACTTTACAGTCAAAATCAGGTGCTGATAAAGCACAATAAATTCCATATGGCTCATTTAATACACAACAGCTTCTTGCATTAGAGGGCTAATGATGAGGCCTGTCCCCTCCTTTCTGTTGACACATTTCTCCATTGTCAAACAGAGATGTGACAGCAACTCTGCATTTTCAGCTCAGGGGAACGAGTCGTGGGAAAGTTAAATAACTTTTAAAAAGAAAGAGAGCGCCCCCCCTCCCCTTCTCCTCTCTCCCTATTCACTGGAGAAGATGTAATTAAGTGAATATGAATTATTAGAGTCCTTTCGTTTACCTTTGGGGGGCCTCAGAGGTATTAATTCAATAATGAGGAATTGCAGGGGGACATCTTGATAATTGCAGTTGAGCCGGGAGAGCTGATCCATCTGTAGAAGGTTTCCACTTTCTTTGAGGGCATTCTGCCTCCACTTTCCCCCCCACCCCTTACTCCTTTCACTGCCATCGAGAAGGGGTGGATATTGTCTAGACAGATTTGGATACACAAAAGCCGCCCACCCAGCCTGGTCCCAACTAGTCTTCCTTTTTCAAGTCTCTGAATTTCCACATTGGAGTGTTTCTGCGATTCTCAAATAGATTATTTGAGGGCTGTGAAATGTTATGGATGGGCCCCCTTTTGGCAGAATTTTAAGTAATCAACCGACTTGGATTCTTGATTTTTCTTGCCCTAGGTGGCTGTCTAGAAGTGCTAGTAACGACAGCCCCCATTGTGTATATTTGAAAGGCATAGATGTCTTAAAAATTTTTTAAACATTTTCCTCTGGGATCACTTACATTATATTTTAATATAACTCTGTAGAGCCCTGGAGTTCATTCTTAATTTTTAGACTTGTGTGCAGGCATAAACCCAGTCCTAAAAATATTAATGCCTTCAGGGGAGAAGGAGCATATCTTCTCAGCTGTGGGTGTGATGAGCAGGTCACATAAAAATAATCTCATGCTCCTAGGAGTTATTTTTAGACTATGGTAGCTGCCATATTTCAGGTAAAGGTCTCTACTAAAACTGCTTTCTATTAACAATTAGCAGGATACCTTGTGCTGAAAACCTCCCCCAAGCCTAGAACTATCTTATTTAAATAACCTATTTAAACCACATCCCCAGAAGAAATAAAGGACCCGTTAGCTAGCTCTGAATACGTGCACAGTCTACAGGTAACCTACACTCTGGTTTCGGTGTCCAGGTATTGCTGAATACCTGGTCCCCACAGTCAGTGCCTTACTCGGCAGAACCCAGCCCTGCATAGAGCCCCTGCAGATAGCAGGCTGTGTACCCCACACTTCATTTCAGGGAGAACTGGGCCCCTAAACTGTATGCCTGTTTGCTAATTACCGTGGGCATTTCTTCCCTCCCTCCCAGTTCTCCCCAGGCCCAAGAATCCAGTGTAGTGCTCATAGGTGTTCAATAAATATTTCTGGAAAGATCAAGTGAACCGCCTCCCCATTCCCTTTTCAGTGCAGAGCAAGAATTTTGCCACCTCTTGGGTAAATGTGAAATAGGCAAAAATAGCTGATTTGAGGCAGAAAGCTGATAAGCATTCTTCTCTTGGTGGCTGCCTGGTCCCAAGAGTCACCACTGAATGCCAACTTCTGCATGGCCTTATTTTGCTCATTCCTCATCACAGCCTTATGAGGAAACTTTTATTACCCCCATTTTACAGATTAGAAAACTGAGGTTCAGAGAGGTTTAAGTGACCTGTTTAAAGACACACAGCAAGCAAAAGGCAGTGCAGACATTTAAACCTTGGTTTCCTCACTTCTGAACACACGAAACTACTTTCCTTAAAAATTGGAAAGGAACTAGGCTGGTTGAAATATCCACTGGAGAGGGTTCACTTGCCCAGTGTTTCCTGCTCGCTTTAAGTTGGGCCCTCTTTCACTGCCCCTTTGGCCCCAGACGTGTCCTTGAACAACCTGAGGCCAGAGAGGGGTGAGGTGGGCGCAGGCCGCTGGGGAAAAGAGGCAGGGCCCGCGGCGCGCGGGGAAGAGGCGGGGAAGAGGCGGGGAGCCTCGCCGACCCCGGCCTCTCTCCGCTTTGCAGGTCTGGTTCCAGAACCGTCGGGCGAAGTGGCGCAAGCGGGAGAAGGCGGGCGCACAGACCCATCCTCCGGGTCTGCCCTTCCCCGGGCCGCTCTCCGCTACCCACCCGCTCAGCCCCTACCTGGACGCCAGCCCCTTCCCCCCGCACCACCCTGCGCTCGACTCGGCCTGGACGGCCGCTGCCGCCGCCGCTGCCGCTGCCTTCCCGAGCCTACCTCCGCCCCCGGGCTCGGCCAGCCTGCCGCCCAGCGGGGCGCCGCTGGGCCTGAGCACTTTCCTAGGAGCCGCCGTGTTCCGGCACCCGGCCTTTATCAGCCCTGCGTTCGGCAGGTAATACGCGGCTTCGGGGAGTCTGTCTCTCTCATACACGCACAGAGGCCTGGGTCCAGGGAGGAGGCTGGAGACAGGTAGGGACTACACACATCTTTTCTCTTTGGCTTAACCTCAGCGACTTAGCCAAAGAAAATAATCTCTAATTTTGCCTTAAACAATGTGGATCTTAAAGGGAATGACTTGGGACTGAGAGGCAAAGGGAAAGGCAGTGACGATAATAGCAACCGTGGAAACTGGGAGTGTTCAATGAAAGCTGCACCAGTACAATTTGAAGGCAGCAACAGCCCAGGCCATAGGTGATATGTGTGTAAACGGGTACAGGTGTAGGCCACAGAGCCAGAATGACTTTTCAAGTTTTGCAAAAATCCTTCCTCATGCCCCAAAGCCTGGCAACCAGTGGAACACAGCCCTAGCCCCCACAGGAGCCCTGGAGCCACGGGCCCTCTGGGTGCAAAGGATTCTTTCTTCTTCCCCAGACTCTATCTTCCTTGTCATTCAAGTGACCCACTGCCAACCATACCCCCGACCCCCATATATACAACCCCCGACCCCCCCAAAGCGGCACAAGACAACGAAAGAAAAGAAACAGTTCATCATATATTATAACTCCCTTTCTTTAAATGAACATCGAATGATGAAATTAAAAGTCTGTATAATCACACAGACAAAGAAACAAAGGAGAGATGTATTAAGTTGGAAAGTGCAGTGAAAGTAAAACTGAATGCAGCTTCAATGATCTCTCTTTGGGAGAACAAAGAAATAATAGATTCATCCAACTGCATAGCCACTTAACAAAAAAAATCATCTGGAGAAAATGTTCAAAAAAGACTCGGTAAAATTAGTTTCTTGTAACAAACCAATGAAGTAAACAAAGTGCACTGAAGTGTAGTGACTCAGTTTACCTAGTGGAACCAGGGCATGTTACGCCCCCTCCAGGCCACACTTTACTTCTTTCGGGAAAAAATTGTTAAAGTCCTTTGCCCCTCGCTCTCCACCCTCTCCTTTACCCTTCTCGCAACAAATGACTTGTAAAAGCTGGCAAACCACGGCTGGAGTACCGGCTGCCAGATTCGGAGAGGCTGGAAGAGGAGTGCGGTGCGGGTGGTAAAAATAACAGAGGTGATAACAGAGGTGGAGGGTGGGCTTGAGAGAAGCAGGAGGCGCTCCTCGAGCCCAGGTGGGCTCATTTCTAATCGTGGAAACCCTGAGTTGGCCTTGCCGGGGCCCGGAGCCAAAGCCCTGGGGAGAAGCGGCGCGGGTAGGGGTGGTGGCATTGAGCGTCAGGGGCGGCTCGGGCCTCAGCTGCAGGTCAGCGGTGCAGTGCGAAGAGAGTGGAGGCGCCGTGCGGGGCAATCCCGGCGCCTCCCGGAGGCGGTGGCGCGGACTGGAGTCCCAGGCTTGGGCTTCGCCGTGCGCCACGCGCAGAGGTCGCGGGTCGGGGCTCTCTGGGACTAAAGGCTGCAGGGGCGCAGGGAAGGCGGTGGGGGAGAGGTGTCGCCGCTCCGGGACGCGGGGCCGCTGGCTGGTTAGAGCCTCCTGGCGAGCGGAAATCTACAGGCGGGCGCCCCCACCCTCGCGGTCGTCGGCCGGGCACTGGCAGCTCAGCCCGGCGCGCGGGAGGGCGGCCTCAGGGGAGGGAAGGCCGGCATACAAGACCGGTGTTTTCAAGGTAAAAGGAGCCCCGGGCCGAGAAGGCGCCGTATATAGAGAGTACAAAGTGGAGCACAGGTCTTGATCAGTTTTGATCCCACGTTCTCCTTCCTTCCTCCCTTTTTTCCCCTTCTCCTTTTCTCTCTTCTTTCTCTTTGTCTCTCTTCTTCTCTCTCCTGGCAAATAGTATTACAGGCAATTGGAGCTCCTGGTCTAAGAATACACCCCCCTTCTTAAGCGAAAGCACAGGATCCGCGCAGTTGGGCCATGGGGCTTTGAGACTCGGGGCTTGCCTCCGCCGCGGCTCTGTCCCCTCTGTCGTTTTTTCCCCTCTGTTGGTTCCCTGCTCCAGTAAACCCTCTCAGAGCAGCCCAGCCTCCCGACCGCGGGTCCAGCTACTCCCCAGCCCGCGGCCCATCCGGGCCTGCGGCTCTCCGCCCCAGCGGCGGCGCCCCTCTGCGCCCTTCTGTGCCCTCTGCTCCCCCGGGGAGAGGCGGCGGGGAAGGCTGCCCGAGGCGCTGCGCGCAGCTCCCGGGGCCGTGACCGCGCTGTTTGCTCTCCCTGCAGGCTCTTTTCCACCATGGCCCCCCTGACCAGCGCGTCGACTGCGGCCGCGCTGCTGAGACAGCCCACGCCGGCCGTGGAGGGCGCGGTGGCGTCGGGCGCTCTGGCTGACCCGGCCACGGCGGCCGCAGACAGACGCGCCTCTAGCATAGCCGCGCTGAGGCTCAAGGCCAAGGAGCACGCCGCGCAGCTCACGCAGCTCAACATCCTGCCGGGCACCAGCACGGGCAAGGAGGTGTGCTAAAGGCTGCCCTCCACCCTCGCGCCCCAGGCGCGATCCGGAAAGGTCACCTCACTCAGCACCACTTAAGACCAAATGGAAACAGAGGACCAGCACACTCCCGAGACGGCACTGAGAGAGCGCAGCCGCCTTCGCAGCAGCCTGGACGCGGGCAAGGCAGCCCTCGGCGCTACCGGACGTGGCACCTCCTCGGCTGGCTG